AGAGGGGAGAGGGACGAGGGGACGAGGGGAGAGGGGAGAGGGGAGAGGAGTGGACGAGAGGAGGAGGGAGAGGGGGAGAGTGGACGTGAGAGGGGAGGGAGAGGGGAGAGGATGGCGAGGGGAATGTCGTAAGTCGGTTGGTGGTGGACGCTGGTTGTCTCTCGTTGTTCAGGGTCTTGTTAGAGTTAGGTTGGTCGGTTTATGGCCGGATTGGAAGGAATTTTTTTTATTTATTTATTTCTTTTTTTTTGTCAGGTGTTTTTTTTTTTTTTTTTTTTTTTTTTTGGGGGGGGGGGTCGGTTTTGTGATTAAATTGCAAGGATTTTTTCTTCTTTTGTTCCAGATGATGTTAGTTTTATGTTATTTTGGTCGATTTTGTGATCAGATTGCAAGGATTTTTTTCTCTTTTTTCAGATTGATGTTAGTTTTACGTTATTTTGGTCGATTTTATACTTAGATTAGAAAGATTTAAATTTTTTCCAGATGATTTTAGTTTTAGGTTATTTTGGTCGATTTTACGATCAGATTGGAACAATTTTTCTCTTTTTCAGATAATGTTATACGTTTCATATTATTTTGGTCGATTTTATGATTGGAAGTAATTTTTTTCCAGATGGTGTTAAAGATTTTATGTTATTTTGGTCGATTTTGTGATCAGATTGCAAGGATTTTTTCTTTTTTTTATCCAGATGATGTTAGTTTTATGTTATTTAGTTGATTTTATAATTAGATTAGAAGGGTTTTTTATTTTTTTCCAGATGAATTTTAGTTTTAACGTTATTTTGGTCGATTTTTAACGATCAGATTTGGAACGAATTTTTTTCTCTTTTTTCAATAATGTTATAACGTTTCATATTATTTTGGTCGATTTTATGAATTGAGATTGGAAGTAATATTTTTTTTCCAGATGGTTTTAAAGGTTCTATGTTATTTTGGTCGATTTTATAATCAGATTAGAAGGATTTCTTTTTTCTTTTTTTTTTATCCAGATGATGTTAGTTTTATGTTATTTTAGTTGATTTTGTGATCAGATTGGAAGCAATTTTTTCTCTTTTTTCAGATAATGTTATACGTTTTCATATTTATTTTTGGTCCGATTTTATGAATCTAGATTGGAAAGTAATATCTATTTTTTCCCAGGTTGGTTTAAAGGTTTTTCATATTTGGTCGATTTTATAATCAGATTAGAAGGATTTTTTCTTCTTTTGTTCCAGATGATGTTAGTTTTATGTTATTTTGGTCGATTTTGTGATCAGATTGGAAGCTTTTTTTTCTCTTTTTTTCAGATAATGTTTACGTTTCATATTATTTTGGTCGATTTTATGATTAGATTGGAAGTAATATTTTTTCCAGATGATGTTAAAGGTTTTATGTTATTTTGGTCGATTTTATAATCAGATTAGAAGGATTTTTATTTTTTTCCAGATTTTAGTTTTACGTTTTTTTGGTCGTTTTTACGATCAGATTGCGACACATTTTTCTTTTTTTTCAGATAATGTTATCTTTCATATTATTTTGGTCGATTTATGATTAGATTGGAAGTAATAGGTTTTCCAGATGGTTTTTCCAGGTTCTAATGTTATTTGGGTCGATTCGTGATCAGACTTAGAAGGATTTTCCTTTTTTTCCAGATGATGTTAGTTTTACGTTATTGGTCGATTTACGATCAGATGAACAATTTTCTCTTTTTCAGAATAATGTTATACGTTTCATATTATTTTGGTCGATTTTATGAATTAGATTGGAAAAGTAATATGTTTTCCAGATTGGTTTCTCAAGGTTCTCATGTTATTTTGGTCGATTTTGTGATCAGATTGCAAGGATTTTTTTTCTTCTTTTGTTCCAGATGATGTTAGTTTTATGTTATTTTGGTCGATTTTGTGATATATTTGGGGAAAAAATCAATAATGTTAACACGATTTTATATTATTTTTGGTTCGATTTTATGTTTCGGATTGGAAGAATTATCTTTTTCCCGATGGTTTTCAAGGTTCCATGTT